TAGACTAGTGTTCACCATGGTATACAAACGAACTTTGGGAGCCCATTTCACATAGAGGGATGCTCTCTCAGCCTGGACACATGGGGAAGGGCCTAGGTCCTGCCCTGGATGAAATGACAGACTCTGGATATCCCCACAAGGAGGGCCTTATCCTCCCTGGGGAATGATGTGGGGATTGGGCTGGGGGTGGGGGGTGGAGGTGGGGCTGGTGGAAGGAGAATGGGGGAGCCAGGATAGACATTTGAAGCACGCATGTTTCTAATTTAAATAAAATACATACATAAAATAAAAAAGAATGCTTGCTGAGTAATCGTGAAGAGCAGGGTATGAATTGCAGCATCTATGGTACAAACTGGACATCTCATACATGTCTGTAACCCTACCCAGAGAGGTCAGAAACAAGTGGGTCACTAAGGTTTGCTGGCTTCTAGCTTACCTGAAAAAAATGTGAGCTTCATGAGAGACCCTGGCTTAAAGAAGTCGACGGAAGGTAATAGAGGACACCTGACACCCTCTCCTGGCCTACATGTACATAGACAAATGTACACACTTACACAGACACCTCCACCAGTAAGTAAGTAAATCTTCTTAGAGAGATGGCGCAACTGTTACAGTCTATGGATCACAACCAGTGAGTGCTCTGGGGAACCAGACACAAAGAAGATATAACAATGAATTGATGCCTTAGGTCTCAGGATGTCTGTAGGTCAGACAGAATGGTTTGTGTGAGTGATGTGGAAAGTGTACCCTAACCTCAGGGAGACAGCAGTGAGCTCCAGGCCAGCCTGTACAGCCTCACTGTTAGAGCACACATGATGCAACTTCCTGGAGGGCTAGAGGGATGGCAGGCAAGCAGACTTCTCTGACCTGTTGTGCTCTGTGGCAAGAGCACATCGATCACCGGGACTGAGATTTTCATGACAAATGTAGGTAGAAAGAAATCCCTGTCCATGAGGCAGAATCTTAGGGGACCAAAGTGTGCCCTGTAGCTAATACTCCGCACTAAGTCAGTTCAGAGACTGACAGCCCTCTTATGTGGGAAGTTCTTCTTTTCCTTTACTGATTCTTTCAGAATGTGATATATATATATATATATATATATATATATAACTTTTATTATGTTTATCCTCATTATCCTCTTTTCCCCTCTTCCCCTCCCACCAAACCCCTTGGTCTCCCTACTCCTGGCTGCCTTCATGTTTCTCTCTCTCTCTCTCTCTCTCTCTCTCTCTCTCTCTCTCTCTCTCTCTCTCTCTCTCTCTCTCTCTCTCTCTCTCTGTGTGTGTGTGTGTGTGCATCCCACTGTATTTAATTGGGATTGCTTGCATTAGCATGAGTGGGGGGGCACTGTTAACCAATACAGATGAAACCTGAATCTTAGATTAAAGTTATTACATAGGAGATCCTTACATATAAATGGTCTAATTTATCTGACAGTCTTACATAAGAAGCACAATTGTCCCTGGTTGAGAACTACTGACAGAAGTTAGGATTTATCAATAATTACACGTGGTGAGTCTCAGGGTAAATTAGCTCAATGGCAGGATGTAGGTCAGCAGGAGAGAACATCCCCCAAGAGGCTGGGTTTAAGTGCCAGCACCACCACTCCTCACAAAGCCAGAAAGAAAAATACTGATTTGGGAGAACCACTCCCCAGCATTCTGACTTAATAGAATTAGGTTAATGTCCAGGGGTTTGCATTTGCAACAAGGTTGCCAATTAATGCTGGTCCAGAAGTAGTCAACATTTCTGGAGGTTATTAGATACGGCCTCTAAAACTGCCCACCTGACCTGTCTAGGGACAGAAAATATTTCAAGACTGAACTCTGCAGATGAGCATGTAGGTGGCATCCCCTGCAGAATGGCAGCTGTGGTAGCAGCAAGCATTAAATGGATTCCCTGGACCTGCCCTCCACTCCTATCAGCCAAGAACACAAAAACTATATAAGCATGAATCTCAAATTCAAAAGTCCCCAAACTGAAATACTCCAGAGTCTGAAACTTTTGGTCACAATAAAAATGCAGGTGCACTCACCTTCACGCTATATTGCAAAGTGTATATAAAAATGAAATATGAATAAATTCTGAACTTAGTTTAAGGATATGTATGTATTCCCAAATCTGAAACACATAAGGCCCCAAGAATTTTGAGCAAAGGATACTCAGTCAGTACTGTGTCCCTAAAGAGAAGGCAGTGACTAATATCAAAAATAGACAAGGTAACCAACAACCACCCCCTGATTCCTATTTAACTCACCAACTTAGTGGGAACAAAAGCCAGATGGATTACTAGATTATTATAACCTCAGTCAGTCTGAAATGTCAATCTCCAAAGCAGCACAAGACTAAGATTTTTAATATAGACAACACAGCATCTAGTACCTAATACACAGTCATTAACATAGCAAATGTTTCCTAATTGGAAACCTGACAATAATGTGAAGATGGGGTGGGATTTGGGGAGACACAGAATATAAGGATATCTGTATGTCCACTGTAGTGTACTATGATGTTGGAGGTTTGAAAAAATCCTTCAATGATTCCATGTCACAAAGGGACTGTGACAGCACATGATGATAATATTTGGATTTATAACATGGTTTTCACTTCTCTCAGTGTGCTCTGTCTATTATTATTGCAGGGTCTCCAATCTGCCAATAGTCAAAGCCAATACTAAGCCATCACTGTGATACAACTACTCTGGATGACCAGGTAGCCACTTCCAGTCCAAGGAAACAGCTCTTATTCTTCCAAGGATAATCACATATTTGCCTGCAGAACATCTGCCTGCATTATTTTCATGAGTTGAAGAATGCCTTATCTATTGTCACAGTGCACGTTATCTCTTGGCCTTGTGTCTAAGAGGCAAAGCATTGCGGTATATTTGACATAGCTTTGATTATCATCACAAGCCTATGTATGTGGCAAAAGAGGTTTGGAAATGCTCATGATGAAAGAGCTGACTTCATACAACAGAGAATGTACTCATGGAAGGTGCCATTAAAGTGCAGTGTGGGATGTTGCCTTGAACCATCAGTAACTATTGCATACAACCAATTGCTCTGGTGTGGGAACCATAAGGTGGTTACTCCATCCACACTGGTCTCCCGACTGCTTCTTTAGCAGGCTGCACCCATGCCTTCCTCCACTCCTGGCATTTTCTCAGTCTCTTCAGACTTCCTTCAAATATTCGTCCTTCACATTTTGTTGTTAATCCTCCTTTTTCCCTCTGGGATAGCCTTTTTACACTATATCATGTATTGCTTTTCTGCTTGCTTATTGTCTGTAAGGTAAGCTCCAAACAAGCAGGGATTTCTGTCTCAATCTTCTATTCAAAGACAAAGTCATAGCCTCTGACCCAAAGAGTAGACAGCAGCAATGCCTGCATCATGGGATGCTTGGCAAACTTCTTCATAAAAGACAAGAAATTAGATATTTTAGACTTTTGAGTATGACAATTCTGTTTTAACCACTCCTCTCTGGTCTTGGAGCACAAAAGCAGCCATAGATTGGTTTTAAAAAAAAATGTGAGAGAGGAGAGAAAGCGCTCTGCTCAAAGATGAACATGTCATCGGAGGAGATACCCACCCTCCTCTGTGAATTGACTTACTTGGCTTACTACATACATCTAGGAACTCTTTAACAGGAACTTCTGAGTTTAAAGACAACTCCTCACTCTGAGAACAAGGTCAGGGATCGAAAGGTTCAGGCATTGTGCTGGCCTGCCCCAGTTACCTAGCAGAATGCACTCAGGCAGTACTCTGGTCATCCCAGGATTCCATGAGAACCAGTCTGCATGCAGGTGTGAAGGACCCTTGAAGAGACAGACTCCTGCCCACTTATGCATTCTGACTCTTTTCTCTCTCGCTCTTGTTTTCTCTCTTGCCCTTCACCCCCCCCCACCTTCTCTCACTCCCTCCCCCTTCGTCCCTCTCTCTCCTCCCCCTCTCTCTCTCCTGACCTGTAATAAACTATGGTTAATGTATCTCTCGTATCTCGTGTTCCATCTCGCGCCTTCTAATTTTAATTTTTAACAAAAGAACAACAGGAATAGTGGCTGATTTTTTTTTCTGCAGTCCTCTACGTTAATCACGTGATCAGCCAAGCCCTGTCTGTACTTTCTAACCCCTTCTTAAAAAGCAAAATCTCTAGAGAGCTAAGTCCTTGTTAGTCAAGGCAGAGATACAAACCACTGCATCTCAAAGCAGTGGGCCCTTGGAGATTGTAAAATGAGGAATCTAGGGCCTGGGATATAGCTCAGAGGTTGGACATTGGCCTACCACACATGAATCCCTGAGTTCAAGCCCTAGGTAAAATAAATAAATTCTAAAATAAAATAAAAGGTTTTTTATTTTAGATAAAAATTAAAAAATTCTAAGGCAGGATGCAGTGGTGCATGCCTTTAATCTTAGCACTCAGGAGGTGGGGGGCAGGCAGATTTCTGTGAGTTTGAGGCCAACCTGGTCTATATAACCAGTTGTAGGTCAGCCAGGGCTCCATAGTGAGACCATATCTTTAAAACAAAACCAAACAAACAAGCAAACAGAATCTCAGACTCACAGCATGGTTGTTTTTAATTCCAATGCCCTGTGGCACCAAGAATGAACCCAGTTCCTTAAACATGCTAGGCAAGTGCCCAACTAGTGTGCTCCTTCTGGAGTTCCTGTTTTTATTTTTTCTTTAGTTATATTTGTCCTTTGCTGATTACACACACACACACACACACACACACACACGTGCAACACCTTCTAATTACTCTTAAGCCACCTATGTGCTGTTTTCAGTAAGATTCTCCAGTGATTCACATAGAGAGTAAAGTATAAACAGTACAGATTCAATCACACATTAGTCAATGCACAAATAAAAACAATAGTTTCTACTTAGCACAAAGATATAAAAATAAAACGTGTCTGGGAGTACAGCTCTGTAGTGGATCCTTTTCATGATATGTACAGGGTCCTAAAGACCTCTGATAGCAGAAAACAAAGATGACAACTTACCTCAGTTATGCGGGATGACTGTTGTTAAAGCAAAGCCGTGCAGACCTCAGGACAGAGGTGGCAGTGGGACCCCGTGATTTTGCCCACTGGAGAAAGACTTCAGCTCCCATCTATGCCTGACACATAGACAAAAGGCACCCCAAGAGTAGGGTTCACTCTTGCTTGCAGGGGAGTTGAGGAAAAGTTTGGGGGAAAACTTAACAGTCCCCAGAATTGATAAGTTTTGTTCCAAGAGACAGACAAAATCGAGACTTTCCAAAAATCTATTTTCGAAGAAATGATTACATTTCCTCAATTTATTTCAGGACGAAAGTAATGAATCTCTGTTAGCTCGTCATCCTGAATCAAGAAAGAAATGTGGATTCAAAAGGAAGACTATCCAACCCTGTAATCAGCTTGGGAGCTTCTCCTGGAGTTGTTGGCAAGATTGGAAAAGAAGGAAATCCAGCCAAGGGGATCGTTTCATATCTTGTTCTCTGGGCAGCAGCATCTCCAGCCCTAACAGCAGCTGTATTTTAGAACCGAAGAGTAAAAACCCATCCGGGCAATGCTTCCTCCCAGCCTCCCCCTCTCCACCCCCCTCTATGGGCTCGCAAACTTCCTGTCTTTTAGCTCCAAGGAGAGGGGATTCTCATTTCACAGGCTCTGCCTTTTTAGAAAAAAAAGTCTAAGCCGGAAGATGATACAGTTGAAAAGGAAACCAAAGAAAACGCAGAGTTAGGTTTCGCCGCAATGCCCACCAGAGATTAAAGCGGAAAGGCAAGCTGTACACGGAGCGTGTAAGGCAACAAACACAGTCCTTTCCTAAACAAAAACTATCGTAGGACGGCCAGACTGCGGGGACGGAATTCTGAAATGTCTGAAGTTACGAACTTCAGACAGATGAAGGAGGAAGGAGATAACCATATATTTTTATTTTCAGAGAATAAACAGAATGTATTATAGCAGTGGTACAGAAAGCAAGCTGCTTAATCTATCCCAGCACTGCGACCAGAGTTAGGGCCAGAGTCCGTGCTCTGGCTGCATTAATAGGCCAGGGTCAGCCACCCATTCTTAGTAGCACTATTAAAAGACCCAGTGTAAAAAGCAAAAGAGAATCATACCATGGAAAGAAGGGCCGAGAGATCCAGGTCCCAACCCTGGTCAAGCGTCAGGGTCCCAACGGTCTAGCCAATCACCAGTGTCAACTCCGAGCTTTCCGCGGACCAGACTCTCCTACAATCCGCGGGCCAGACTCTCCTACAAGGTCATCTGGAGACTTGTAAACCTTCTCTGGGGACAGCTCCTTGTCAGGCTCAGGTTCCTTCCCTGGCTGGGCCTCACCTTTTTCTTCCTCCTGGCATGAGATTCTCCGGTAAATTGTAATTTCTTAGGGTCCGTCGTTTCAATAGTCTGACAGGCAAAAAAGGGCCTTAGTGTCTTCAGAAGAGCTCCTTCCTTCCCGGCATTCCTGGGTATACATCAAAACCATATAAAGTTCAAAGCAAATGAAGAAAATGCTCAATACAGTTAATAAACCCTTATCAGGTCTCTGCGGCAGCTTCAATGCTACTATGGCTTCTTAATAATCAAACAAAACCCACCACCCCTGTACTCCTCTCCCTCCAAATCTATCAACTTTCAGGTTTTAGATTTGGGGTTGGTGATTCCAGGGTACACTGAGACAGGTTGCTGGGAACTGGGGAGTTTGTTGTGAGAGATGTTACTGCTGTGGACACACAGGCAGGAGAAGCAGCTTGGCCCGGGGCTCTCAAGAGTTAGGGTCCCTGCACCAGAGAATCAGAGCCTATGTAGGCAAAGAAAGAGCCTCCTCTCCTAAGTTTTTAGAAGGGGGTCTACTGCAAGAGTCTGCAGCAGCTCTGATTCCCAGACAGGAGGCAGACAATGGCTGGGAACAAACTGTGACACCTCTCTGATGTAGATGCACTTCCCAGGTGAGCCTGCTAGCAGGGGGTCATGAAGTACCACTCAGGTGCCTGTCATCATCTGTGAGGGGAGGCCTGAGAAGCTGGGTTCTACCATGATATTCTTACACAAACCGCTGTAAGTCATCAATTTAGCTGAGAGAAACACACGGGCTTGCCATCAAAAGGTCGGTGTCACATGCGGACAATGTTAGCTGTTCAACTAGGAGCGAATCAGGTCATCCTTACCCACAAGCTGCCTTCTTACAGCCACAGCTACAATAAGAAAAACGAGAGCCTGTTTGTAACCCTAATCCCTTAACAGACTTCCCAGGTACCCAGATTTCAGGAGACTGACAAGTGTCAATCTTACTTCCCCAAGGGAGTTTACAGACTTCAGACTACAGACTCCTAGGATATCAGAGGGCTACTGGTATAATGAGTGCACTCCAACTAGCTGTGCTTCTCCTCTCCAGCAATTTTACAGTCATATAATTCTTCTCCAGAACACAGGGGCCCCTCCACTGTACCTGGAAATCAAGGACAGCTTGACTTGCACTGTGATTAACTCATTAACCATATGATGTGAGACCTCTCCCTTCCCTTGAGACCTGTAAGAAGCGACTCCTATTCTGCTTCACGGTCCTGAACTCTCATCAGAGCCCCTGCCATGCCATGTGTCTTCCCATGGCACCTAATCCTTGCCGAGGGCTTCTGCCAAGCTGCCGTTATGTCTGTCTGTTCATGGAATTAATGACTCTTCTAATAAATCACTTACCCAAGGGACTGTCTGCCTCAGTGGCCCCCAAACCCCTAACCTTTCCAACAACAAGTATTCTAAGGAGAAACAAGAGACACCCTGCCTCAAGCAAGTTGAAAGGAGACCCTCGGGAAGTTGAGCTCTGACCTCCACCCCTGGATGGTGGCGTGCTTACAACAGTGCAACTGTGAGTATCAGCCTGTGGGCACACGCACAACAAATCCGTTGATTCATCACAAATATTTCTTTTAAAAGCTGAGGGCTGATGAGATGGCTCAGTGGGTAAAGATGCCTGTGGCCATGTTTGGTGACCTGAGTTCAATACCTGGAACCCATATGGTGGAAAGAGAACTGTGTCCCACGAGTTGTCCTGTGACTCTCTCTCTGTTCATACATCATGGCATGTGTACACCAATTCATATACACACAAAATAAGTAAAGTAATAATGCAATTTTTAAAAAGTTAACAAAGGAAGACAGCATTTAGGTTTTAAGCTGCCAGTAAGCTGTTAGTAAAGGGGAATAAGGGGCAACTCTTTCTCTTCCTTCCTGTTGGGAGCTTGCAGCAAAGATCTTTTAACGAGAAACTTTTGCCCCATTTATGAGCGATCACACCATTGAAGAAATGGTTACTAAGGAAATGGAATTCCCCCAGGATTCTCATTCTGGGCTAGGAAAAGGCCGAAGCTTGGTGCTGATACAGAAAAAGTGGACAGTTTGATAAAGGCTTTAATTCAGAAATTAAGGTGCCAGACAGCCATGTCCACACAAAACTTCCAGTGAGTCAGTGGCCCCTGATTCAAACAATGAAATTCACAGACTGTGGGAATGGCAATGCAAAAAAGCACAGCTCTTGTCTTAAAGCAAGTGAGAGGTGGTTTATTCTGGAGCCACTTCTAGTGACCACAACCAGGAACACAGACTTAGGTTATCCCAGATCCTATGTCTCAATGTGGAAGCAGTTTCATAGTTTAACAAACCAAAGAAAATCACAAATCAAGGCAAATTTAGAATACATTTATATATGGTGGTATATTATTTATGATGCATTAAAGCTTGTCTGAGAGCACAGAAAACAAAGCTAGCCACAAGTCATAGATCCAGGCCATGAGGATACACAACTTTAATCCCAGCAACCACACTACTAGCCATAGAGCCAGGAAGTGGTGGCACACACCTTTAATTGCAGGACTGAAGATACAAGCAGATGGATCTCTGTTAGTTCAAGGCCACACTGAGCTACATGAAATTGATCCAGTCCTAAACAGAAACGCTCACTCATAGATGATCTCAGCACTTTTGATCACATGCCTTTAATCCCAGCACTAGGATGGTAAAAAAGAAAAACCAAAGGGTTTCATGTGAAGATTTAGCCTCCAGCCACATTGAGGAGAGGCAGCAGTCTAGGATTGCAGTCTGAGGATTCTTAGAGCTAGCCAGATCACCCTTTCAGTTTGGGGTAGAAGTAAGAGCTAGTGGCTAGTAGCTTTGCTCTTCAGCTTGAAGCTTGAACCCAAATATCAATCTCTGGGTTTTTATTTTTCTTGTTACGCTTATGAAATGTTCAGCGATGTAAGGGAAGGGTTTCTACACGCCTAAGATGCTATCTGATGACATATTTAGCTTTTGGGTTGGTGGAACCTAGGAGTCTCTTAAGATAATACATTTCAAAAGGTTTTTATCTATTAGTTTTATCTATGTTCTGACATAGAGATGGGAAAGGGATGGCTGTTGCAGGGGAGGTGGGTGCCCTAAAACTAGTCCAAGACAAGGTAATTAGCCTCTACAGCCTCGACATTCTGATCTCTCCATGGTATTGTACTTCTGATCAGTCTCCACAGACACACATCTTCCTTGGGGGAGTTCTTATTCACAGTTCTCTTGTCTGAAAAGCATCACGTTTTGGTCATGGTGGATGTCAAGTATTATTGTTAAATACCGTAATGCCCCTCAACTATACCTAAAATTGAGCAATCAAGAACACAGTTGGACCTAATAGAGTGAAGGTAACAAATAAACAAAACGTATATCTAAAACCAAAATTTACATATTTTATAACTAGATTGACTTTTTATTTCCCTTGTATCTACAGTTATTGTAATCTATGAGGTAACATATTTAAGAGGTTATAAATGGGACTTTGGAAGAAATCACTGTAGTATTAATCTTTCCCCTTTCTTATTAGTAAGATACAAATTATTTAATTTTTAAATCCTGGTTAACTGTACTGTAGGACACTTTAGATACTAATTAAATCAAGGAACATTAGTACTTCTACTAGTTTTTTAGACTGATGTCATCTGTGTAAGACAAGTTAATCTGAAACTTTGGTTGTTTCTATCTGTAGTAAATGAAGTTAAAGTTTAACTTAAAAACTGAATTTTATACAAGTTATACTGAATTATACCCACACACATATACAGTGAAAACACTTGAATCTTTTAAACACTAGTTTTGAAGGGGTTTATGGTAGAGGTTTAAGATAAGCAATTGATCATAGCAAAAACACATGATCAAGCAAAAGGACATAAAATCTTGATTTGTAAATTAGTTAAAAACTAAGATTATTATTCTCTTATCACATAGAACTATTTCAATCTAATTAAAATGGTTAAATGAAAAGTAAGAGAAACGTTTGGTTACTCAGGGTACTGCTCTCAGAGGTGTTAATGATGAGCATCAGTGCTTGAAAGTCCACACGAACACCGCAGATGATGTTGTTGTGGGACTCCTTCTGGAAAAGCACTCCTACACCAATGAGAGTGGAGGAGAGGAGATGTCACTAGTGGACCGAAGCCAGGACACCTCCTGAAAGGCTTTGATCCAGGTCCAGTTTGCCTCTCCCTTCATGCTCTAAAACCACAAGGTACAGAGGGCAAGCA